CCTCAAAACTCCAGCTTTAACACTTATTTTCTCTAACAGTGGTTTAGTATGTTGGTTTCAAACACTAAGTTAAAAACTGTTGTAAATAAGGATATTTTAGTGCATTGTACAAACTAAATTCAACAATTTTAACTGTTAGTTGGCCAAATAATTTTTGTGTCATAATGATTGTTGTGATGTTTACATTTTGCTGCTAAGTATGTTGGGGAAGATGCCATATCTTCTTTAATAGAGATATTATCTCATTTTTCAAAAGATGCATTCATCTTCAGTCAATAAACAGAACATTCCCATCGTGGCAACTACTGTAAGTGTGACAGCTGCCAACGTGCGTTCAATGATCGTTTTTCCTGTGCAATAATTATTGTTCAACAGCTTTTTGTTGTTCAGCACTTAAAATATCCCAAAAATACCAATGCTTCCCAAATCAAACCTACTCTGAGAAATATTTACTGGAGTAAAAAGTGTAACTAGTCCCAGTGCCTTCTCTTTCTCTAAAGAGCATCACTGTTGCTGTCAGGGTTCTCCTTCACTGAGAAAACTCTAACCAGCATCACCAACATCATTATAATAGTGTGTCTCTGAGCTCACCTTGCGCTAGATCTGATATGATCTACTGGAATCCGGCAGTCCAGATCCGTGTCTGTGATCATCAGCTGCAGTTAGAGAGAGATCGCACCTGTATCCGGCAAACTTCTTCTCTTATCGCTCACTGCTCGGTTCGGAGCTCAAGCGATGACACAGTTTCCACAGAACACTTTGGTGAAAATGTTGTAGAACCAACCCCGACAATGTGCTATCATAATATCTGGTCCTCGCCGTCCATAAACCGTCAGATGGTAAGCGATGATCGAAGAACACAGAGAGGAGTGCGCGGCGACGCCATCAAACTGCGCGTAAAGCGAGAGCGCACAGATATAATAGCGCGGACACACACGTCAGTAACCCAGAGATACTACTAGCAGAGATATGGATTACACTACACTACACTACACACACGCCGGCGTCATTCTCACAGCTCGTTTGCGATATTCTGAGCGTCCCTCTTGTGAAGTGACTGTAACTAGTTACTTTTGAGGTGTCTGTTGTTGCGCGACGGTACCATGGTACAGTGATGGCAGCATTTGGTATACCAGATGTATCGCATGGTACTTGTATTCGTGAACCTGTACATGGCGCTCCAAGGAATGCAGTTGCGTAAAACCATAGTAGTACCATTTTAGTCCCAATGACCATATTGACAGTCCCATTATTTACACGTTTTTAACTATAATTAAAAATGTTCCCCAGTTATCTAAAAATACTGGAAATACTTGTTCTGGCATCTCTCATTTTACCTGATGCCCTTTTCTGAACTCACCCTACTTTTAAAAGGATGTCACCTGAAAATTATTCTATTCTATTATATTCTATTCTATTCTATTCCCACAGTTATTTATATACTGTATTATAATCTTGTATATGCAAATAAGCAGGTATTTCCCTCTTTAATTCAGACTCTAAATCAGAGGAGTGTCTCCTTCTAAATGAAGCATATTATAGAGACCTAAATGTGTTTCTGTCTTCACAGTTTAATAATTCCGTATTGAGACAGCACTGTTTAATCACACAAAATCTGTTCGTGAAATTGTCACGTTTTTTTTCCTGAACACAAAAGACCGCATTGAATCTTAGAAATGAATGTCCTATTATAGTGTCTCAGCAGATATGACAGCTGCTTTTGTATAGCATCCAAACACTTCCATCCCATCACAATGCACATGCAAAGAAAACAGAGGAAGCCGATTCATCCGAGCGCCTGGTAATCGGTGATGCCGCTGTTCATTTGTCTCAAGTGTCATGTGTAGGACCACATTCTGGCACAAGCAGATGCTCTTCGTTTTGTTATATTTCACGTTGAACTGTGCACATTTTCTCTCTTAGACTCTTTTTTTTTATGTCAAACTGCATAACACAAAATGTGTTTTTATGAGGGTGTATATTATTTGAAAAGTTATAGGTTGTCAGTCATACAAGCTGTGGTATTTGAAGTCTATAATGGTATACTGTACTGTCATCTGGTCATTATTGCAAAATAAATCATGACATAGATCAGGACCCCACAATTGCTTGAAATATTAGATTAAGTTGTAAAAAGAAAGAAGATGAGAGTTATAAGACACGTTAAACTAGCATATGTAATAATAATAATAAAAAAAAACAGTTGCTGAGGACAACAATGAATAAAAGGTCAGTATAAAAACATATTTGACCAACCTGCTGGGAAAAAAAATTACTTGAAGGCTTATATGTTGGTTTGTAGGTTGTGTAGCTGGTCTCCCAGCCTGGTTTGATGATTTAATGGGTTTTTGGATTATTTTTAGCTAGTTTTTAGCAAGTATATAAACTGGAATCAGATATATGACCAGCTAAACACCAGTTTGGGGAGGCTGGGAGACCAGACAGACCAGCTTAAACCAGTTAATTCCAGCAAAGGAAATTAGTATAAACTGTTTTATATATATATATATATAGGGAGCTGTTAAAAGAGAGGGAGAGAGAGAATAGTTAGGAGATGTTTTTTATGTTGTCATGGAACTGGAATGTTCCTGAAACATGGATGTGATGCCAATGCCATTAGTAGCGATACAGGTATTTGGTTTGATGGATTTGTTTGCCACTTCACAAGACATTGTTTGACCAACTGGAGTTGTATGGATTACTTGTGTATTGTTGTGATGTGATTTTATCAGCTCTTTGGGCTCTTTCTGACGGCACCCATTCACTGAAGAGGATCCATTAGTGAGCAAGTGATGTAATGCTACATTTCTTCAAATATGCTCCAAAGAAAAAGAAAAAAACATCTACGTCTTGGATGGCCTCACCACAATAACAGTTCCACCAGTGAAGAAGTTCACCCCCAAAATCCACTGACATATTTGTTTAGAACTGTTTTCGTTTGTAAACGGTGCTTGATCTGTGTATATTTCTCTCCTGATTCATATAAGACGACACTTTTTCAGTGGACCCAGACATTAATGGATTGACTGGAGTCATGTGGATTACTTATGGATTATTGTGATGTTTTTATCAGCCGTCTGGAAACTCATTCTGATGGCACCCATTCACTGCAGAGGATATATTGGTGAGCAAGTGATGTAATGCTAAATTTCTCCAAATATGTTCTGAAGATAAATAAAATAATCTATGTATTGTTGGCCTGAGGGTGAGAAATATATTTATTATACAGTTTGGCTTTAAAGTGTTATATTTCATTACAAGTGTATGTGTGCATATGCAAGTTGGTTTGCACTCTGAAATGTCCTTGGCATTTACTCGCTCTCTCTCTCCTGGTGTCTTTGAATCATCAGGGATGAGGCCTTGGGTCTCTCATGTGACTGTGCTGCAGGACAGAGCCAGAAGTGGAAGCCAGCCTGTCTGGACAGTGGCTGAAATCTGATGACAGCCACTGAGAGCAGGTGCAGCCAAACGCTGGCTCGCTGCCGAGACGAGGTCAAACAGGACTCGTTACGTGTTGCTTGTATCCCGCCTTACGTTCCTCAGATCTGACGAGACAAGCATCCAGGCACAGCTCATTAGACTGCAGGATAGAGAGAGAGAGAGTTCCCATCCGCTCCCATTTGGCCTCTAAAAACAGTGAGCCAGTGTGCTTAATGGACTCTGTGTAATAGCTGCAGGGCTGAAGCACACTACTGTAGATTGCACAGATCTATTTTAATTTTTAGCAGTTTTAGCAAATGAGCTCACTCGATGGCACTGACATCTCAGTGCTTGTGTGGTGCAACTGCTTGCTTGTTGGTTGTAGCTGTTATACATTAGTTTAGACCATGTATCAGTCTTTATGTAACTAAAAAAATTAATCAAATGTAAGTAAAACACCATGCACACACCTCTCAAATTTTCTAAAATTTTCCCCAAAATTTAAAAAAGTAGTTAAAGGGGTTATATGATGCGATTTCAATTTTTCCTTTCTCTTTGGAGTGTTACAAGCTCTTGGTGCATAAATAAAATCTGTAAAGTTGCAAAGACTAAAGTCTCAAATCCAAAGAGATATTATTTATAAAAGTTAAGAGTCAGCCACACCTACCTAAAACGACTCGTTCTAACACGCCCCCACATGTCTTCCTCACTATGTGGGAAGATTTGCATAACGCCGCCCAAATGTTCACGCAAAGAAAGAAGGCGTAACTTTTATTTTCGCTGTAGTATTGTTGTTGCCGCCGCCATGTCGTAAAGACGTTGTGTTTCGTTGTGAAAGCAAAACTACTTTGTTTGGTCTTCCAAAAGAGGACGATATCTGCTTCGTCATGCCTGGAGCTGATCCGTGCTGGTCGCTGAGGAAATACATCAACTTCGCGCTGTGGATCGCTGGATCGGCTTTCACCGTGGACGAAGTGGAGTCCAGCCCGGGGTCGTCACATGTGGTTGACGCTGTGACGCGTAAAAAGACAGTATAAGTCATTATAATCCATAATTATGTCCCCACTGGATGCAACGAATGCCCCGTTTACAATGGGTTTTCATGTTTTTGAATCATCGCTGCGGCCTGACAGGGCATCATCACAGTATGGTGAGGGGCGTAACATTTCCATCACACGCTTGAGGTATTCGGCCAATCACAACTCACTGGATAGCTGGCCAATCACAGCACACCTCACTTTTTTAGAACGATGAGTTTAGTAAAAATCGACGTGATTCAGAAAGGTGGGGCATAGAGGAGAAACAATAATATACAGTATGTGGAAAATAATGTGTTTTTTTAACCTTAAACCGCATAAACACATTTAATTACACCAAATAATGTTCTTTTTAGCAGCATCATATGACCCCTTTAATATGTTTTTGACCATGTTTAGTTTAATTTGTAACTCAGTAATTCTTATTAAGTCTTATAATAATTTTCAGTCAGAATACATGATTGTTTGTTAACCTCTTCACTGAACCTAACCAGGGGTTCGAATCCTGACCTAACATCAAGTACAGTAAAGTTGGCTTATTTGTCATTTGCACAACTTGTTCTGGGCATGCTGGGCAATGAAATGTTTAGAATTGAATTAACTTATTTTAATCAACTCGTCAGCATGCAGAGATCTATTTTAGTTTTCAGCAGTTTTAATTAACTCTCGACGTTACTAATGTCATGATGCTTGTTTGGCGCAACTGACTGTTTATTAGCTTGTAGCTGTTATTAGTGTAGATAGATTAATTTATTTTATTTATTTATATATTTTTTTTATAATGACTTACATATGTCAGTCTTTATATAATAAAAATGTAACTGAAAATTGCTAGCACCTCTCAGATTTCCTTCTAAACATGTAAAGAAGTAGTTTAAATTTTTTAAAACTATTTTTAGTCATTTACATTTTTTTTTAAATTCATTGAGTGTGAAATTCTGTGTTTGTCAAACAGAACTAAAATATGATCAATAAATGTGCATTTCCTTAAGTGCTTTTTTCTAGTGAAAATTCACTGAGGCTGCTATTGAATTGGCGTGTACAGTGGAGGGTGATGATGTTACATATCAATTACCAAACGACACTTTCATCCGTCTGTAAAACTGAAATATGAGAGGTTTGTGTTAGTACTTCTTGACAACTCGGGTCCAAAATTGAATGTCTGTCATAGTGTGGTCATCGAGAGCTGTGATAAATCTAATGCATTAATCTCCATAAGCTGTTTGGGTTTACAGCTCTTGGCAACACACACGGAGAATGTCCCACTCCAACAGACACCTGACACAGGAATGAGACCTGTCAATCACCTGTCTGCATATAAACTACCTGAGCTCTGAGATATGATGCTGTGCTGAGCGAGTGTGTGTGTCTGTGTTTGTACTGAAGGAGCTTGATATGTAATTCAAGCTTCAGGCCCTCATCAAAGTGCGAGACACAGAACAAAATCGATTCATTAAGTTCTGTTTCCTCACACTGAGTGATAAACATGTGGAG